TACCTAAGAGGTAAGTTAGGTATTTAAGGTTAAGGTTGTTAAGTTTGTAGTTGTTAAGTTTGTAGTTGTTAAGTTTGTAGTTGTTAAGTTTGTAGTTGTTAAGTTTGTAGCTAGCTTTAACGTAAGTCGTGGTCAGACCGGCTACATGGCCAGACCGGCTATTGGTACCATCACATACAAATTTGTATGCAGAAGTACTTATGCTTGCGAAAAATTAGAACTATAATAACTCTATTAATAAAAATGCTAGAGCAAATCCCTTTTGTATATAGAAACTTTAAGTACGTATCTACTATATATAAAAAGGGTAATATTACTAGTATCTTTTTACATAAGTTAATAACAGTTTTAAGTTTTACTATATAAATATTTGTATAGTAAAAATATAAGCCTTAATATCTCTTGTAAAACAAAGCTAGTACTACTAGTGTTTATATACATGTTAGATTATTATATGAAAAAACATAATTTAAGAGGATTAAGCTTTATATACACTATTACAAAAGTTATTATGGTTTTAATTTTGGTTTAGTGACCTTGGTTTTGGTGGGGTGAGCTAAGTAGCCGGTCTGACCACGACTTACGTTAGTAAACGCAACACCTATTTGTACACACTTCATTAGCTACCTCTCTTAAAATCCAGTAGCTAGGAGCATAGCTACTACTTATAAGCTCTTTTATCCACTTTAAAAGTATCTTTTCTTGGTTTTTTAAAAGGAGTTGTTATTGTTAACGCGCTTCTGTTCGCGTTGGTATACCCTATATGCGTCTCTGCATAGTATTAGATCTTAGGTTCAAAGCAATAGCTATAGCTTGAGCAGATTTGTATTTTCTAGTTTGAATTCCTAGAACTGCTTCAGAAAGTCGTAAATCAAGCTCTTAAGCCTGTTTATTCCTCCGTCTAACCATTCTACTAGTATAAGCATTGTTAAGTAGTTTGGTGGTTCTATCCTGGATTTTGGTGGGGTTTTTAGAATCGCCGCTTACGCCATGTCGCTGCTTACGCCACGACTTACGTTAACCTAAGACTACTATAAGAGTAGGCGTTTTACTTCTACATAGTTTAATGGTTTTAATAATGAATGTATAAAATGCATTTCTAAGTACCTATTTATTATCTATTTATAAAGTTTAGATGGTTAGAATAAATCTAGTCTATATAAGTTATATAAAGTCATTATAAGTATTAATTAAGGTTTACTCTTTCTTATTATTTAATATCTATATATAATTTATTCTAAAGGCATTATAGCTTATATAGAAGATATACCTTCTTATATAATATAGTTAATTAAGTTATTAGAATCTATAAGATTATCTATTATACTATATAAGTTAATAAGTTCTATAATTTTTATTAATCTCTTTATTTATATAATAAAGCTACTTCCTAGGGTTAGAGCTACTAAATTTAGTAGGGTGTAGTTACTGCTTTACACACCTACTACCTCACCCTAAATCTTTAAATCTATAGGCACGTAATTACGCCTACATTATTATAGACCCCTTAAGGTCCCTATTCTACTTCCTATGTCTTACTTTCTACTTTCTATTTCTCTCTCTTCTACTTGTCCCAAGGTATATTATTATATAGGGGGACTACTAATCTACTAATCTTAAGGTTATATATAGTAGAGTAGACAAGATGTAAAGTTTTCTTAAGTCTATAGTTAACATAACAGTTACTTATATAAACATCATTAAGACTTGTATATAGTAGAGGGTATAGAATATGTCATTCTTATTTACACTAAGGTTACTCCTATGCTAGGTAGGTAACTTTTTCTATTTTTAGGATTCTAGCTATTAGTGTTTTATATATGTTTCTAGCCTAATTAGGCTAACTACTAACTAGGCTAGTTAGCTAATAGGTCTAGTTGTTTATATTAGATTTAAGGTGTAGCTTTAGCCTTATAGTATATAACACACCTAAAGTTATAAGGGATAGAGGAACTATATATATTTTAATTCCCTAAAGATATAGTACTTAAATGCTACACTTTATTTCCTTATATATATATACTATATAAAATTCAATGTAAAATTAATATAATGTCTTTGTATATATAGGATCCCTATAGTATCCTAAACATTATTAACTATAATAGCAACTTAGCAACTTATGTTAGTAAAATGAAATTTAACAAATGATGCTATTAGGACATTTCTAACATAAACATTTAAGAGATTTATATAATTCTAAATAAAAGGGAAATAAAGCGCCTAAAGTATACTAAGAATTATCTTAGAAAACTTATAAAGCTAAGTCTTTATAACAACTATTATTAAGGTTAAGCTAGTTAAGTTATAGAGGTGTAGGAAGACATAATTAATAATGCTAAGGTAAACTTAGCTAATAACTCTTAAACTATTAACAACCTAAAGTTAAAGCTTTAAGAAAGAAAGAACAAAATTATATAATAATTAAAAAATCTAGAATTAGCTGCTAAGAACAAGGATGCCTTATATAATAAGGTAGCATAATAACAATCTTAGCTTACTTATTAAAGGAGAGACCTTAACTAGGCTATATAAAAACTAGAAGGGTCCCTTATTAGAATAGAGAAGCTAGTGTAGAGGAATTAATTATATATAAAAAGTCTAATAATCTAGAGTATAATCTTATCTAAGTAGTAGTAAGGTAAGCGTTACTATTATAAAAAGTAGTATCCTTATAGTAACATTATGTAAATAAGCTAGGAAACACTATATATCTATATAGTAAGTGTAATAATTTAAAGGTAGAGCTTTCTAATACTTAAAATTCAATCTTATAGGCCTAGCTTAACCTTACAAACAGCTATAAAGCTAAGGATATATAGAAGACTAAGCTTAAAAGCCTCTTAGAATAGTAGGAATAGTAAGAATAGTAATGAAGTTTACTATTCTAACTATTCCCTTTAGGCATAATGCTACTATATAAGTAGATAGTTCTTAGATAGGAGCTTTGTGCTTAACTTAATATAGTATTTTGTTATATACTATAACGTGTTTTATAAAAGCCTTTATATCTAATCCCCTACCTTCTCTAATAAGTAAACTAATGTAATAAAACCTCTATAAGTCTTATAGTTTAAGACCTAGTGTTATACTATAGCTAAGCTATTAGATAGCTACATTACTACTAAAAAGTAGATTATAAAGCTTAATAACGCCTAAAACAGAATTAAACAAGTTTAACTTAACATTTAAACTCTCTATAATACTAATGTAGAACTAGAGGTAAATCTTATAGCTACTCTAAGTTTACTTAAGCAAACCTAGCTTAATTCTAAAAACAATCTTAAAACTACTAAGAAATAGTAGGTAGAGCTTACTAATGTCTAAACAACACTAGACTAGATAGTTATTAAGCTTGTTAATAGCTATAAAAGTAATAAAGAACAGGAGGTAGAGCTTTCTATTATAAAAAAGATACTCTAGTAAACTAAACTTAATCTTAAAACTGCTTTAGAGTAGAAATAAACTACTAATGTGTTACGGCTATGAATTCTACGGGGATCCTAGGGCCAGTAGGGCACCTAGGACCAGGGGGACTTCTAGGAATAAGTGTTCTAGGAAGTATAGGACTTCTAGGACCAGGGGGTCTAGGAGTGGGGAGAGTCTCGGGAGCGAGAACACTCCTGGGAATCACGTGGGCCCCGCGGCAATTATGGTTTAGCGCTATTGTCCATGGTTGCGGGATGTCACGTGATGGATAGTTAGATAGTTGGGATATTCTCATATATCCAACTATCCTGACTATCCTTTGGCACGACGCCACTATATAAGTAGATAGTTAGTTCTTAGATAGGAGCTTCGTGCTCAACTCAATATAGTATTTTGTTATATACTGTAACGTGTTTTACGAAAGCCTTTAGTGTCTGATCCCCTGCCTCCTCTGTTAAGTAAACCAACGCAACGAAACCTCTGTGAGTCTTATAGTTTAAGGCCTAGCGTTACACTTTGAGCACCCTTCTACGAGGTACCGGCTCATACACCAAAGCAACTATGGCTCCGAATGTTCTGAGCCCGAGAGGAAGTGTTGTCGGACGACCCGACACACCCACCCCACAGTCGTCTTAGAGACCTACTACTGAGAACGAAGATATGCCTGACGCGCCTGCAACATCGGAACTCAGGGAGGCCTTACGTGTCAAGCTCCCTAACACCTATTCTGGCAACCGAAAGGAACTTGAAGTATTCCTGCTATAGGTCGAACTGTACCAGTACTTCAACGACGACAAGTTCCCTACTAGAGAAAGCTATGCTCTATGGACTTCGTCCTACCTTCGAGGAGAGGCCCTCCGATGGATCGAACCCTTCCTTAAGGACTACTTCCGACACGAAAGTACCAACGGAAGCATGGCGGCTACCCAAACCATGTTCGGCAGCTGGAAAGGATTCTGTAAGGAGATCCGACGCATGTTCGGAGATATCGATGAGATCAAGACTGCAGTGGACCACCTATTTGCGCTTAAGCAGACAGGCAGCACCCTTACATACTCCACGGAATTCTAGAGATACGGCAATCAGACAGGATGGGACGCTAGCGCGCTCATCAGCCACTACCGACGTGGGCTAAAGAGCCATGTACGTATGGAACTTGCCCGTTTAGAGCAACAACCAACGGACATGGTGACGCTGATTGAGCATACGGTTCGAATCGACAATCGACTATACGAATTCCAGAGGGAACGACGGACCTATGACAAACCCAAGAAAAGCTACCCCTACCGAGGGAACGAAGGCAGACGACGGGAACAACACCCGCGAGATAACCGTTGGTCAGACCCAATGGAACTCGATGCTACGTTTAAGCCTGGACGACCCCGTGACCTAAAAAAGGACAAGCAATTCAAGGAACGACTTTGCTTCAACTGCGACAAGCCAGGCCACATGGCCCGAGACTGTAGACAGCCAAAAAAGGGAAACGGTGGACGCAAATTCAGCAAACAACTCAACGCTACCTAGCAAGGCCGAGGAGGCTATAACGACCTAGGAATGCAGTTGAACGCCACGTTTGTAAACAAACAGGACTGGGGAATCAATGGTGATAGCACCCCAGAAAATGAAAGCTCAGACGAGGAATCAGAGGCGGAATCTCTTACCGTCTCGGAACAAGGAACCTTCAAAGAGCTCGCACCTACGGAGCTAATGAGTCCGCGGTGCAAGAGCGTAGTACGACGCATGGCAAAACACGCCCACTCGAAAATTAAGGACGAACGAGGCAAGCCTAGCGCTCCGAGGAGAATCCCCACGCTTAAGGGCATCTACGGAGACCTGTTATAGGGACTCCCGTTAGAATGCAAGGTGGACGACTGCAAGGACGACCTCTGGAGATACTACGACATACTGACTAACGAGCTCAGACGGCTCGGCACGTCGGCAGAAATAGAAACCTTCCTAGTTCAGGAAGCAAGGGAATTAGGAAAAGACGTCGAGCATATGGCTACACTAAAGAACGTGAAGAGCGTTGAACTTTACTACCAGGACAGAAAGAGGGCCCTGAAGAAGTACGGCGAGAAAGCCAGAGACATGATTTAACGGGAGGACACGAGACCCGCTACACGACTAGAACGGAGAGCCATGGAACAATTAGAGACGTTCACCACGCCTCTGAGGAAAGACAGTGAATGGGTAAAAGGACAACGGGAATTGGCAAGGGCAGATGCGACAGAGACTGATCATCCCTGGCATGCATATGTCTACTGGGAGTACTGTAGTGAAGACGACTGCAAGCTCCACTGGAGAAAGAAGCACCAGCATCAGTTATTCCCTCGATCTTTACCTAAAATACACTTTCGAGATGCAGAACAGGTCCATGCCCTCAGACGCAGTCAGTCTGAAGGAGAATTACCTATAAAAAATGAACAAGTATACGAGAGATACCCACACTTACTAAGAGAGGCGGCAAGACAAGAAGGACCGCCCTCATTAGGACCGCCGACGGAGGACGACGAATACTATTCTCCCTCCGACGAGTCAAAAAACTAGGAGTCCTCGACGGTAGGCCACTGGCGAGCGACAAGAAGAGGCCTAGTGCGAAACAGCTATGCGCCACGGAAGGCGGCATGCAGCTATATGTGGTCGCTAAGGTACAACAGCAACACCTCCGAGCAATGATTGACTTAGGAGCAACGGGCAACTTTATGACGAAGAGAGTAGTAGACACTCAAGGTTTCAAAACGCAATTGAAAGCCGACCCGTACCCACTAATGGTCGTGGATGGAGAACCCATCTCGACCAACGAGGGAATGGTGACCTACGAAACGGTCCCATTAGAAATGGTCATGCTACGCGGACACAAGGAAACGATCCAATTTGACATCGTACACATGGACAATCATGCATGTATCCTTGGTGTGCCGTGGCTCAGGAAACACAATCCCCAGATCGACTGGTGGAACGAGAGAATTGTGATGAGCCGGTGCGCGTGTGAACAACGAACGGACACGCCACAACGGGAGAAACCCTCCTAGGGCCGACGCGAGGTATGTGCGACCTCTACAGAGCCCGGTGACCTAGCCTAGGCACCCCCACTGACGAGTATACCGGTAGAGTATAAGGAATACGAGCAGCTATTCCGGGAAGGCCCCAAGAACGAGGCGCTTCCTAAGCACCAACCATGGGATCATGTGATACCTTTGGAAGAAGGAAAGAGTCCACCGTTCGGACCAATATACTAGATGTCAGCAGACGAGCTAAAACTGCTAAAGGAATATATCGACGATAATCTCAAGAAGGGATTTATCAGACCCTCTAAATCTCCTGCAGGAAGCCCGATGTTATGGGTTCCTAAGAAGGATGGGAGCAAACGACCATGCGTGGACTATCGAGCATTGAACAACATAACGATAAAGGATCGATACGCCTTACCGCTAATCAATGAGTTACACGATAGATTCTAAGGAGCTAAGATCTTCACCAAGCTGGATCTGCGCGGCGCGTACAACCTGATCCGAATAGCTGAGGGCGAGGAGTGGAAAACAGCATTCCGCACCCGCTATGGCCTATTCGAATATCAAGTCATGCCCTTTAGGCTAACTAACGCCCCCGCATCCATGCAACGCTTGATGAATGATGCTTTGCACGAGTACCTGGATATATTCACCATCGTTTACCTAGACGATATACTGGTATACTCAGCAAACGAGGACGAACATGCTCGGCATGTCAAGCTCGTCCTCTAGAAGCTGAAGGAATACAACCTACTGTTGAAGCCAGAAAAATGTGAGTTCCATAAAAACCAAGTCGAATTCTTGGGCTACATTATCGGAACACACGGCATCAAGATGGACCAAGCAAAGGTCACGGCAGTGTTGGAATGGCCAACACCAACCACGGTCAAGGAAGTACAAGCCTTCTTAGGCTTCGCCAACTTCTACCGTCGATTCATTGCGGGATATTCCAAGGTAGCTTAACCACTCACGGAGCTCACCAGGAAGGATCTCGTGTTCAAATGGACAGATAAGGCGGAGGCTGCCTTCCAGGAACTTAAAACGAAGTTCACGGAGGCACCCATCCTTGCGACATTTGACCCTGCAAAGAAGATCGTCCTTGAGACGGACGCCTCTGATTTCGCGATTGGAGCATGTTTGAATCAGCTAGGCGAGAACGGTAAGTTCAAACCAATCGCGTACCACTCTAGGAAACTGTCACCCGCGGAGCTCAACTATGACATCCACGACAAGGAGCTACTAGCTATTGTCGTTGCCTTCGAGCAGTGGCGCGTATATCTTGAAGGATCCACCTACACTGTGCAAGTGTGGACGGATCACAAGAACCTCATATACTTCACCACGACTAAGGTTTTGAACCGTAGACAAGTCCGCTAGGCAGAAACCCTCGCAGCCTACAACTTCACGATAACCTATCGCAAAGGCTCCGAGAATGCAAGAGCAGATGCTCTCAGCAGAAGGACCGACTACATCGGCCCGAAGGAAGAAAGACCTAGAGCAATATTAAAGAAAACAGACGCAGGAATACAGTACAACGAGTTGCTAGTGACGATCTCCATCGTCGAAGATACAGAACTTGGGGAAAGACTCAAGAAATCTTATGCGACAGACGAATGCGCAAAGAGAGTCTTGACCAAAGTCGAAGGCGACTTCGCCATTGACGAACAAGGATTGATCCGTTACAAAGGATTAGTGTATGTCCTAAGTCAAATGAGACGCCCGCTAGTGCAAGAACAACACTCGTTGCCAGCACACGGTCATCAGGGAGTAACACGAACCTTTGAACGAATCACTAGACACTACTACTTCCTAGGTATGAGGAAGCAGGTAGAAACAGTAGTAAGAGAGTGCGACATTTGCAGCAAGTCAAAATCTAATAGGCACTTGCCTTACGGACAACTCAAGTCGACACCAGTACCAAAAGGAGCGTGGAAATCAATAGCTTTAGACTTCATCGTCAAGCTACCACCCTCTAAAGACCCGTTAATAGGAATAGAATACGACTCTATCCTCGTTATAACGGAAAGACTCACGAAGTATGGGAAATTCGTACCATATCTAGAAGCCAGCAACGCTGAGGCGCTCGCGTATACCTTCATTCGAGTCATATTAGCCGATCACGGGATGCCAGAAGAAATCATCTCAGACAGAGACAAGCTCTTCACTTCGAAATTCTAGAAATCGTTAATGGCTCTGCTGGGAACAAATCACAAGCTATCAACAGCTTTCTACCCCTAGACAGACGGCTAAACAGAAAGATTAAATCAAACCCTTGAACAGTACCTGCGAAGTTATGTCAATCATCAACAGGATAATTGGGCTCAGATTTTACCCATTGCACAGTTCGCATATAACAGCGCGATGGCGGAAGCAACGAAAGTCTCACCGTTCTTTGCCAATTACGGCTACTAGCCGGAAGCATATAGGCAACCAAGACCGGACGAAGCACGAGCTGAACAAGCCCTGATCGTGGTGGAACAACTGAAATCGTTCCACGAACAACTTGCGACGGACATCCAATTCTTAAATGAACGATCCGCCGCATACGCAAACAGGAAGCGCAGTATGGAACCTGCCTTCGAGGAGGGGGATAAAGTATACCTACTCTGGAAACACATCAAAACGAAGCGACTAAGTACGAAGCTGGACTTCAAGAAATTGGGACCATTTAAGATATTGAACAAAGTCAGCTCAGTTAATTACAGACTGCAGCTACCTAAGAACTCCAAACTCCACCCAGTGTTTCATGTCTCATTATTGGAACCAGCAAGAGGGGATGCCCCGATTGCGACCGATACCGAACTCCAGCCCGAAAATGAAATTATTGAATATGAGGTCGAGGCGATCCTAGACAGAAGGTTAGTAGGACGCCGAGAAGAGTTTTTGATCAAATGGAAAGGTTACGAACCTACGGATAACTCGTGGGAGTTGAGGGGGAACCTCAGCTGCCTAGAGTTGTTGGCGGAGTTCCACCGTCGGCACCCATACGATCGAAGAATCCTGGGGAAAGGCTCCAGTAGGGGTCGTGCGCGGAACCGACGATTTCAGGATTAGTTGTGGATGGACTAAGGAGATGAGCGTGGGATTCGGCTTCGTGTCGATCGCGCTCCTCGGCCTCCTCTAGCTCATCGAGGGATTTGAGGCCACGACGAAGCATTTCAGCGCCACGAAGCTTGAGGGCCTTTTGCTGTTTTCGAAGGCGCATGCGGCGAGCGTAGGCCTCCTGCTCTTGAGCAGCAGCAGCTTCCTCTTCTGCCTCTAGGCGCTCTTCTTCCTTACGAAGCTTTTCCCATTCAGCAGCAGACGGGCCGCAGGCGTCGCATTTGGAGTTACGACGAGTACATTCACTACATCGGCGATGCCTAGAAGCGACGACGTAGGAGCGTTCGCTACGGATGCAGTTGGAACATGGCGGCATCGGGATTCCGTTTCTTTCAATACGATTAGCTAGGAGTTGACGTTCTTTGATTTTGGTATGTTTGTCGGAAGGCATGATGGCAGCGCAACCTGCCGGGTAAAATAAGTGGGCGTCACCCCACTTAAGTAGTTAGCGATTTCCTTAGTCAGCAGGCCTATGGGACTAGGCCTCGGAGGAGGGACCTAGTGTTACGGCTATGAATTCTACGGGGATCCTAGGGCCAGTAGGGCACCTAGGACTAGGGGGACTTCTAGGAATAAGTGTTCCAGGAAGTATAGGACTTCTAGGACCAGGGGGTCTAGGAGTGGGGAGAGTCTCGGGAGCGAGAACACTCCTGGGAATCACGTGGGCCCCGCGGCAATTATGGTTTAGCGCTATTGTCCATGGTTGCGGGATGTCACGTGATGGATAGTTAGATAGTTGGGATATTCTCATATATCCAACTATCCTAACTATCCTTTGGCACGACGCCACTATATAAGTAGATAGTTAGTTCTTAGATAGGAGCTTCGTGCTCAACTCAATATAGTATTTTGTTATATACTGTAACGTGTTTTACGAAAGCCTTTAGTGTCTGATCCCCTGCCTCCTCTGTTAAGTAAACCAACGCAACGAAACCTCTGTGAGTCTTATAGTTTAAGGCCTAGCGTTACATAATGCTTAGTAATGTAGATGTAGGCATAGATCATTAAGTTAGAGAAACAATTGTTAAGAGGCTTTATAGATAGAGTAGTGTTAAGATTTAAGATGTAGTTTATAATAGTAATAAGGGGAGTAAGAGCAACAGTAGGAGGGTAAAGTAAACAAGGAGAAGAGGGTTTGCTAATAATAGTTTAAATGTATTTTTATTTTTTATTTATTAGGTCTAGATAGAAGGGCGCTAAACCCTACGTAGTACACCTTACAACTAAGACTATAGATAGAACTACTAAACCTCTAAAACTAAATGAGTGATATTTAAACTTAGTCCTTATAAATTATAACATAATGTTTCTACATTACGCTATTTATAGTTTAAGGGTCTAACTAGTTAAGTAGCTCTAAATGATATACTATTAGCTATTATATTCTATATAGTAGTAAACGTTTATAGTTATAAAGCTTTAGCTAATATATAATTATTTTTCTATCCTATTTAGATAAACGCACAGCCTTAGGTAAACGCCTAGTTTTATAAACGCTAGAAAGCTATATTAGGGTTAGAAACAACGATATCATTAGCAGGCTTTTAGTAGTGCAAAATTAGTATAGCTAAGTAGTGATTGTTGTCATTTCTAGACGGTTTAAAGTGAAGTTTGAGGGTTGAGGATAATTCTGACAATATCAATGCAACGAGAAAAGCTTTTAGTGGGAGTTATAGTACAATTTGACGACAGCAGTCATATTTAGTGTCTACATCTCCACAGCGTCCTTACTGCTGACCCTTCCGATTTCAGTTCGTACTAAAGCTTCGAAATATTAGGATGTTGCATATACAGGTTAGAATTGGCATCGCTCTAATGCAAGAACTTCTAAATTCGCATACAAAATCACAGTATATTGAGTTAAGCAGTCATAGCGACAATGCCACGTCTTACAGCACAATGCGGGGTTCTCAGACACCTTTTACCGCCTTGAGGTTATCACCAAATTTAGGGGCAGGGCGGCCTCTTGGAATGCCCTGCCTGGAGACAGCTCGGTAAGTCTCGCAAGTCGAACCTGCGAGTCTCTAATGTGACTTGTCACTCTTAGTGAGCCAATTAGTCTCTGCGAAACATCGCCTTCAAGCCACATCAATGTAATTGGAGCCACGTTGATCGTACTTTTCCCATCCCACGTGTATCTCATATTAATCCCTCTTATAAGATTCGCATTTCCCATATTCTCTTGACCTTAAATACTTCCAAGCTACTCTTCTTGTGATAACCTTACCTCGCCTTTAAGCCACATTAATGTAATTGGAGCCACGTTGATCGTACTTTTCCCATCCCACGTGTATCTCATAATTAATCCCTCTTATAAGATTCGCTTTCCCCATGTTCCCTTGACCTTAAATAATTCCAACCTACTCTTCTTGTGATAACCTTACCTCTGATCCCCCCACTTATCGCCTGCTAACTGCCGTCTAACCGAGCCTTTTCAAAATGTCTTACTGCCCTATTTGTAGTAATCGTATGGAATATAGCGAATATGGAAATCTAATACCGACTAACAGGGCTGGAAGTGGAGGATGGAAACCTGAGGCAAGTAAATCCTTTTAAGATAGTATATACCTCTTTGTTTAAGTCAGGAAAATAACGTAGTCTTATGGTTATAGTATTGCGGCCCGAACTGTTGGACGTGTGGATATCCGCAAGAGCGGTATAGGATATGGCAAGCCGAGTCAGAGAGAAAAATAGCGGAGATGAGACGTGCGGAGGCCGAGAAGAAAGCAGCGGC